TGCGTCCTTTAAAGAAAATTTGGAGTCTTTCTTTAACACCTGTCAACATGCATGGTCTGACTTTTTAACACTTTTGTTTTCTTTTCTTCTGCTTCATTCAGGTTCTGGCAGAAGAAGGTTTTGGTTCCATTACAACAGAAATCACTGAAGCCAAACCGTTTTATTACGCTGAGGATTACCACCAGCAGTACCTGAGTAAAAACCCACACGGATACTGCGGCCTGGGCGGGACGGGAGTCGCCTGTCCAATTGGACTCGGGACAAAGTCCTGAGGAATCCTCACCCATCCATAAAACACCCAACATCAAACCAACCCACCTAATGTTCAGCTTCTTATCATACAGGATTTTTAAATTCCTGCTTTGTACATCTGTAAGGCTGAATTCTGTTTGAAAAAAATTGTGGAATATCTTATATTTTTTGCTGGGACTATTTTTATTGCCTGTTTAATGAGTTGTTTTAAATCATACCTGCATATAGAATAATAGAAGAGATGAAGTTTGTTTTGAATAAAGCAACTTCTGAAATTAGACATGTTGAGTTTTTTCTTACACTAAACTTTCCTGCTTTGTTTGAAGATGTATTTTTGCTAAAATAATATCGACCCAATTCCATTTGGTACAGGTTTATTCATGAAAGCATTTCACTTGTACAGAATGTTAGTTCTTAGCACTTTGACAAAATCCTTCAATGAACTGCTTTTATTTCCCAAATAGTTTAGAAACATTCAACTAAAAAAACCCACAAATAGACAAAATTTCCACTAATAATTTGTTTAAATGAGACAAAATGTTTCTTGACAGGATGAATGATTGCTGAGAGTAAATTAAATTGGAAGTTGTTGGTTTTTCACTTTTATAAAAGGTTTTAGTTTATTAGCTGCCATTTGCTTGAGTAACTTTATTTTTAAAAGTACTTCAGGAGTATTTTTACTAGGCTGTACATTTTTACTTTTGCTTGAGTAATTTAATTAGGAAGTATTTCTACTCGAGTAAAATTTCTGGATTTTCTACCCACTGAATGAAAAACAAACATGTTTTAACCAGAAATTTACCAGACTCAGACACACCTGCAGTTTTTGTTAAAGTTTCTTAAGTTTTTTTTTTTTTTTTTTTGAAAGAAACTGATTTGGGAATTTTTTCTTTTACCTGGTTTTGTTATTTTTTAGTTACTTGTATGAATTCTTGTCATTTTGGTCCTTAAAGTACTAAAATGTCCATTTATTTTAATATTTTTCTCCGTCTGATGAGTTTATTTTTAAATATTAATTGGTTGATAATTTGATCAGTTTCTCAGTACTAGAATAAACTCTTTGTCTAATACTTTTTTACTCGAGTAAAATCTTTGGCTGCTCTACCCACCTCTGTTTGTGTTGAGCTAAATATTGCATGTTGAAATTGTCCCTTTGCATATAAAATCTGGGAGAACGGTATTAGAAAGGTGAGATCAGATGATTTATTGTAAATATTTGCTCTGTAGTGTTTTGTGTGCATGTTGTTGTGAAATGACCTCTTTCCTCTGATCTTTGCCCGAAGCCATGTTCCGGTCCAGGCCTCATCTGTCATCACTGTTAATCTCCAAGCATGTGTGTTTCTCTACACTACATGCACATGTGTGTGTTTGGATGCAAACTCACACACACCCCAGCAGGAGGAGAAAATATTGGACGCCAGGCCCTCCGAAGCCTGGCGCCGACATCACACAGCAAACCAAGGAAGAGATGGGTCTCTTTGGAGATGGCAGAGCGCCACCTTGGATCTCTGCTGGCTTGGACTGCAGCTTCACTGGCTCTTGGAAGCTGATCTGGAGCACTATTTTTGGAATAAAGTGGGTATTATCAGCAATATTAAGCAACTCTGCCATTTGAAAGCAAATTTGAAATCATTTCCTCATGTCAAAAACTTTTACGTCTCATTTCATTCTCAGTAATTTAGACCAGAAGAACTTAAAGGGGAAGTGTTATGTGTTTTCCAGGCCATTTTATAGTAACTAAATTACCTTTAATTTTGATCAAAATGTTAAATGTATCAAATATGACTTGAAAGAAATTTGTCCTTGTAATTTAATGCTTTTTCTGAAACTTTGTCTTCAGTAAGTCATCACAACATGGCTCCTCTGTTGACCCTTGAACAACATTTTTACCAATGTTACTGAGAAGTAGCTCCTATAATGAGCTCAGTTCCAGCAGTGTTTGCTAATTGCTTCTGGCTAGTCTGAAGGAGCTGAGTGAGGGAGGGCTGCTCTGTGAGCGGGAAGCTGGTAAACTGCAGCTCTGTAGAGGAGCCGCATCCCGAAGGCGGGGCTAGGTCCACCCAGGCGTTTTGCAAGGCTGAATGGTTGCCATGGAGATTAAAGGATTTCTCAATTATGCACGTGAAATCCTGCAATACTGTTTTAATGACAGAACAGCATTAAAACATGAAGTTAAGCTAAAAAATAAGGAGATTTTACCTTATACCGTCCCTTTAAATGTACCAACAATGCAATAGTTTTGGTACTTAGCATGTAGCGCCCTCTTAATAACTTAATAACTGCAGTTATTTATCCACACAAATAAAAGATCTAATGCAGATCATTCCACTTATAACTAGAACTTTTTGATTGATGGGAGGAGACAGTTTTCCATCATCTGAGATCCCAAAGTGACTCTGGAGGAGCTGCAGAGATCAACAGCTCAGGTAAGAGAATCTATTTACTTCATAAAACTGTAGAAGAAAAATAGCATTACTAATTTCTTAAAAGAAACTCCCCCAAAATGTATCCTTTACTTAAAACCCCAACTCTGATGTTTAGAGAAGATAAAACTATTTTATAATATTATCTTTGTTGGTATCTGAGCTGTTTTCTCCACAGACAATCTAGATTTTTGTTGACCTGATGATTTTGGGTGCTCAGATATTCCAAAATCAAACTTTGTCTCAAAAGGAGAAAGCAACGTTATTATTTTTTATTAAGATCATGTTTTAAATGAGCTGACAAATAACGTTACTGTCCTCATTTAGTTTGTAAGCTTATCATAAAATGCCAGGAGGTTGTTGAATTTGAATTTGTCCCTTGTTCAAACGCTGGCCTCTGCTGCCATCTGGAGGTGAAAGTACGGTATGATCATGTTTCAATAACAATAACGCAGAAATAAATATTTTCCCTTGACCCAGAAAATATTTATCCGAGAAGATTTCGCCTGTTTTTGCTGTTTGTTACTTATAAATCGCATTTTAAAAACAGTCATAATTTTCAGCTCAAATCTCTCATTTGTACGAAAGTTCTCTGATCAATTCAGATCAGGTGTAATGATTTATCTGGCACTTTCCATCAAACTTTCCTCTTTATCGTGTTAGTTTTGATAACATTCACTCACAATTTAATACATGTTAGCTCGTTTTTGTGAAAAAGTTGCCAATTTTGTTTCCAGGGTTTTCCCCTTTTTAAGCCTAGCATTCTCTGCGCATCATAGTTTCCATCTTTAAAACCCTGATGACCAGGAATACTGACCCGTTATGTCAGAGGTTCTTCAAAAACAAAACAAAAACACCAGGGGAGGTAGATACGGGTCAGGGACAGCTAATATGGCAGGCCGTTTTAACATATAATCGATTTCACTGCTTACATTGTAATTACAGACACAAAATGTCCTGCCATACTGGGATAGCAGCTAATTTCACACTGACCAAAGTCAGACCTGCCCGCCGGGAAATATCCCGGATCTCCTGATTAGCCAGTCAGGAAGGTCAAAACATTACTCCCAGTCATACACTTTAAAGTTAAATTCAACCAAATAGAGTTGAAATCTGAATTTAAACAATTAATTAAAAAAAATTGTGGTATTATTTTTGTTTTTGTTTTTTTAGCAAAGATAATTCTGCTGAATCTAACTTTTCTACTGAATCTGAAAGTTTGTTTTCTTACCACTAGAGGGCAGTAGTTTATCAGTTTACAGTGGTGTTTACAAAGCAGCAAAACCAACGTGCAACAGTCATTAGGGAAGATTAGTCAAGAGTTTTAAAATCCAAACAGCCTGTTGAGGTTTACAGATGAGATGCTGATTTCTTATTTTGGAACTAATCCTTTTGGGTCAGAATTTAGACTTAGAATGTCTAAAAATTGCTTTCCAACTGTATTTCAAGACCTAAATGCCATACACAACTTTTTTCTTGCTTGGGTGGTCAGAGAAAGAAGCCCATTTCAAAATACATCAGAAGCACCAACACAACACAGCTCTGAGTTTTTGTTATGCTTTGCATATCTATGTTTGCGTTATCATACTTTTTCCTGAGTTGTTGATGGTTTCCAGATATTTCCTGCTTAGACCTGTGGGCTCCAGCTTAGCAGCTACCTCCACATTTACTCTTTCAACACTGCACAGTGTAAAAGTGTCCACACCTTCACTGTTTTCTGTGAATGTGTAATTGTAGATTACACAATCTAAACAAACTTCTGCAATTGCTTGCAAAATAAAAGTGGAAATTTGAGCCTCAAGAGATAGAAGTAACGTCAATATTTGGACGTTGCAAGGAAGGCTTCATTAGGATGGTTTAAAGATTTTTCTTTTGGGTGTTTGGAGAAAATGAATGAGAAAACTCCCAGACTCCTTCCTGAGTGGGTTGTATTTACAGCAGCCTTATACAAAGATCTTCAGTCAGCATCACAGACCATAAATAATCTAATTCAGAAAAACAACATCACATGAATTGTTAGAGTAAAGCATAAAAAGATTTATTGGACATTTTTGTAGCCGTGGCTGAAACATGAAACAGATTCAACAACATGAACAGTCAAATAAAGTGATGACAAAGCTTAAAACTGGAGACAAAATGGCCACTCAACATTTATAATTCATAAAGAAAAGAGAAAAAGTTCAACACTTCAAGTCTTAAACACTGAGCTGGGTTCTTTTTTTTATTAACCTGCAAAATATATATATAAAAAATCTCAACTCTTTCACTCATGGTTTGGAATAAATTTAAATAAATATATAAGGTATATAAATATTTACATCATAAACTATATTATTTAAACACAAAAATGTAAAAAATTTTAACCAAATGAAAGGAGGAAAGAAGACGAGACGGGTCTAAACATGACTCAGACGTCTCTAAACACCCACACTGTCTGTTTATATGTTTTGACTTGAACAAATATCACAGGATTATACATACAGGAAGAGCTAATATGTAAAGTAATGGAAACCCTACAGTGAGAAAAGTGCAGAAGCATTTCCACTAGATTGCCTCATCTGGTTGGATAAAAAAATCAACTTGGATTAAAATGCAACAAAACAAAATGTAGATTTTAAAACTTAAAAATCGGAAAGGTTATTATATCCCACAGCAAGCAGGTTTATTTCTTGAAACATTCCTAGTAATAACTAGGGAGTCTACTGGACCTCACATGTTGTGTTTCTGAAGTTAACACATTATTTTTTGAAACTTAAAGACCACTTTACCAAAATTTAGAAAGTAAGGCTTAAATTCCTGGAAGTAAAAGTTACTGTCCTGACACACATAAGTACTTCTCTGAAATTCACAGGTTACATTTGTAAAACTTGAGGTTCTTTATAACTACAAAGCTACTATCAAGGAATACACAGGTTACTTTCCTCAAAATTGATGTTACTTTACTGACACTAACAAGTTAATTGAAAAAAGTAAAGTTTTTTTTTTTTGTTTTTTGTTTTTTTGAGAAGCACTGATTTACTGGAACTTAAAGAATTTGCTTTGAACGTAAAGGTTACCATCCTGATGCCCCAAGTTACGTTTTCCTGCAGTTTTGCTTAAATGTTCCCTATTTGGAACTCATGCCCTATTTATCTGTAATTAAAAAATTACTACTTTCCTGAAATTAACAAAGTAATTTTGTGAAATGTAATGTTTATGTTCCTGAAGTCTGCCATTTGCCAACTTGAAGCACACGGGATACGTTTCTGAAATTCACAGGTTAGCTTTCAGAGACTCGAGCGATTTTTCTAAATGGAAGTTACGGGTCATTATCAATGACCTTACTGGTAACTTTTCAGAAACAAACAATACATTTATAGATTGCTTCCCAGGTATTTACATGTTAGTTTGTTGAAACTAACTTTTCTGCAATTTAAACATGAAAACAACTTTCATTAAAGATGTCTTTGGCAATAAGTTCATGTTTTTTTGGTGTCTGGAAAATTGGCTGTTTTGAAAACCTTCTGAATGCAACGTCACAAATCAACAGGCACTGCACCTAGCAACCACAGTGAAGAGACAAGAGTTTTGTTTTTGAGTAATCCTTCAGAAACCACTTGTTACAATATTGTTGGTTGTGCAGGAGGCTCCACTTATGCTTTTCAAAGACGTACGGTTGTGTAATTGCGCATCAGTTGGCAGTTATTTACATGGGCAAGTGTAAACGTTGAATTGGGGGGGAAGTGGCCTGCAGCAGCTTCTTTGGATTTAAAGTGACAGGACATCCTAAAATGGCTCAAAATAAGCAAAACTGATCACACAAAAATAATTTTCTATGAATGATTTTATACAACAAAAGTAATGTAACATATTTTCTATATCCCATGTACCTATCCTAACATTTTCAATGAAGAATAATAGGAAACTTTTAAGGCTTTGTTCCTGAGAAGATACCTTTACAGGTGGAGCAGTAGTTGTCAAGTTTTTATGATAGCTACATTTAAACCAGAAAGATTGACTAATAGTCATTTTTCCATCATTTGCAATGAAATCAGTTTAGCCCCTGGGACTACAGTTGTCGTTGTAGTTCCTGTAGTTCCTGTTGTTGTGGCCATTGGTGTGGTCAAGGGAGACTTCAGCAGTTTCTTCCTCAGGTATGGTGGGAAGAAAGTGGAGATGTAAGCTACCTTAAAGCCTGAGTTGCAGAAGCAGTAAACCAGTGGGTCCAACAAGCAGTCGGCGTAGGACAAAACCATGAGGGCGTCGTATACCTGGACCACCTTATCCTCCATCTCCTGACATTGTTTCAGCCTCACGATCAGCAGCGCCAGCCGAGCCATCATGCACGGCAGGAAGCAGATGGAGAAGACAATGGCGACAGACAGGACGGCGAACACGGCTCTCCTCAGTTTGGCCTTTTCCCCAATTGATTTCCTCTTCAGCCGATTGATGATGCAAGTTGTGCAGTAAATGAGGATGATGAAGGGGATGATGATTTGCGAGAAGAAGACAGTCTGAAAGGAAAAAAAGCTTATTACTCAGGACAGCAGTGCTTTATGTGGTAAATATAAGTTGATATTGCAGGTTTTATTTTAAAACTGGTGGGAAAATACAAATCAGTGGTGATTCCTAAAGAAATGCAGCTGTTAGTGAAGTGGAAAGATTTACCAGTGTAGGTAATAATTAATCGCCTGAGTTGTTGCTTCTCTGAGAGACTGGGTTTATGTAAATAGCTGCAGGTCAACTTAAACGCAGCACTGTATGCTAAAAAGCTACATTTTATCTTTCTTCTACCCTGTCTCTTAAATCAATCTAATTTTTTCAAAGTACTGGGATATTTAAATATTTTTCCAAATGTGTTTCACTATTTTTAATTTCTGATTTATCTGTTTATTTAGTCTTGTTATATAGAAAGAATGTCTGTTTCTGTGTTTTCCTCTGCTTTGTTAGCACCTTTTAGTCATTTTGGACTTTAACCTTCTCCTTTCTTCAATGAAACTAAATATTTTACATATAAACTATATACATTTTTATTGGCCAAGGTTTTGTATTTTTGTTAAATCTAACAACTTTGTTACCCTTAACATTAATTTCAATCAATTAGATTTTACATATTATTATTATTATTATTATTATTATTATTATTATTATATTTTAACACAATCGCATTTTATTTTTTTACACACAGAAGTTGTGGGTGGAACCTTCGTATTGGCGCGTTTCTGGTACGTCCGTGAATCTGACGCACAAGCGCTGTCCGCAATTAAAAGTTATGAAACAAAGCTCCTTCTCTTTGCCCTCTGTAGGTTTCTTTCTGCTTTGAAAAATAATCAAATCAGAAAGTCTGGGAAAGACTCTTGTTGTGTTCAAGTTGTGCTAAAAGCAGTTAGCTTATCAGCAAAGCCGTTCTGGCCTAAATTAGCATCTTAATGCTAAGTCTCTCGCTGACAGGATTTCAGTTGTGTCAGCGTCCACAGTTGAAATACCAAAAAAGTTCCATAAAATTATTAAGGATTCCTGAAACATTTGTCTTAGTTGTTGAGGTCATTTATCTACTTATTCAATAATTTGGCAGCAAAAAAGGGTTTAAATTGAAAATGTTATTTTATTAATTTGTTTTTTTATATATTATTATTAAAATGCAATTAATTAAACACAAACTCTGCAAAATAAAAAATAATAATAATTGAGTCCCATCACTACTGTAGACCTCTCCCATGTGGGGTATTTCTTATACTTTAGAGACTCATGTAGGCAGCTGGCTCCTCTGGGTTTGTATTTAGTGTTTTCAGAGTAATAAAATGTCCTACATACAGAGGTGGACAGAGTGTCCAAAATTTGTAAGAGTGGCAGAACTTCAACATGTTTTTACTCAAGTAAAAGTAAAAAAGTATTTGGTAAAAAAATCTACTGAAGTGAGCAACTGATCAAATTATCAGTCATTTAATATTTAAAAATTACATAATCAGAAGAAACAAAATATGAACTGGAAATGTTTATATTTCCACTAATGAAAATACTCCTAAAAGTTTGTTTTTTTTCCAAAACGTTACTCAAGTGAATATAACTGAGTAAATGTTACTTCCAAACTCTGCCTGTCTATGAATGATTGCCAAGTATATGGTTGTAGAAGTTATATAAAATTCTTTTTCATCATTGAATCAATGGTAAATATCTGTGCATTTAATATTGATGTGAATTAGTGAAGCCAGAATATTACCTCTCTGAAAGCATCCACCAACATTTCTAGAGTCGTGGTGTTATTTCGGCCAAAGCTGTTGCAGCAATCGAATTTGTTGAGCATCGTGGGAATGGTGAGCGGCAGTAAGAACACCCATATAAGCACAGAGATCAGTGGAGACTTCTTAAGCACCTTCACACAATTTCTCTTCCCAAGATGGACGACGCTGAAGTAGCGGTCCAGGGACAGAGTGATGAGGAAGCCGATGCTGGCCCCTCGATTGAGGAACAGCATGAAGTGCATCAGACGGCAAATAGCATCATTCTTGCTGCGCCTCAGACTGTGCTGATAGTGGTGAATTTTAACAGGAAGACAGGCCACCAACAAAAAATCAGCGACCACAATGTTGAAGAGGAACACGCTGTTATTCTTCCAGAATTTATACCTGAAGAGGAAACAGTTCACAGAACATTTAGTCAAGAGAAACAGAACATTGATCTGCTCAGAACGTTTGGTTCCTGGCATCTGCAGATGATTGATTGAAACTATTCTGGTTTCTCAGCAATATTAACAATGATAAGTTTCACATGTCAGGAAATGGCTGCTATTTTTTATATTTACAGAGAACGCTTTAATTCAGGAAATGTGTGATTACATCAAAAGAACCTAGACTGTGGTTGGCCTGTCGTGCATTGTTAGAACAGCTATTGCAACATATTAATCTGGTGGCATCTTTGTTGACATGCAGCCCAATTTCTATAAACTGCACTTTGACATTTAAACATCTTACATAAAATGGACATCACATTTTTTTAGTGTGTATTTGCACATGCAACCTAATTTAACAGTGAATTACATTTATTTAAGTTGTTTGATATTTTATGCAGATGCTGTATTTTAAATGCATCTCAACAGCCTTTACTACCACAGTTGAACCTCATAATCTAACTTTATCTACACCTTAATGTCAGGAAATTGTGAAATTTTCATCTTCGCAGCTGAAAATCAGTGATACCTGAAGATGAAGATGTAGAGCACTGAGAGGTTGAGCGGAAGTCCCAGAATGAACTCCACCATCATCACGTAGGAGAGGGCTTGGTAAGTGTCTTGATTCGGTGTAAAGCAGGGGTCTTCTGTCAAATTAGTATTATTATTAGTAATATTATACATTTTGATGAATCTCAAACTGAATCCTTCGTCTTCACTCTGCCACAGTCTGTCACTCCAGATTTTCCTCTCTTCCTTCTCAAACAACAAATTCAAAAGCTCCTTTCACAGATCCAGGCAGTGATTGAGAAACCCAGACAATCCTTTGCCATCCATGCCAAAAGATCCCAGGGAAACAGACACCAAACAAACAAAAGAAATCAGAAGCAGCGCAGAGAGGAGGAGAAAACACTCTGAGAGTGTGTGTGTTCTCTCTTCAGGCAAGGCTGCAACTGATCCCTCAGAGAGGAAGGACATATATTTCATCTGGAGGTGTGGCTAAAGAGAGTGGCTCAACTAACTGCGAAGCGTCAAAGCTCCTTTCCTTAAAGAGAAAAATGAAACAAAGAAACTGAATTAGCCCTTGTTATGAAGAACCTGAGTGGTTAGCATTTAATTTGTATTTCAGCTGAACGTTTCTCTGTTGCAACATCAAGTTGCCACATGTCGAAATATTCCTATCATCAGACATCACTGAGTAAATCATAGTTTTCCAGTAAAACATTACATGAACGTCTGCTGGTAAACAACAAAGAGAGATTAGATCCTGCTTTTGACCTAAAAAAACACAAAAAGTGAACTAGTAGTAGGTAACGGAGCTCTTACTTTAGTCCAGTCTTTAGGTACACTGCAAAATCACAAAATCTTACCAAGTATTTTTGGTTTAGTTTCTAGTGGAAATATCTAACTACACTTAAAATAAGACAAAACTAACTTGTAATTAACTTTTCCGGTAGATATATGAGCTTATTTAATTCATTCATTTCTTAATATTGATTAAAAAAATGCTTGTTCCGTTAGCAGATTATTTCATGTTTAACATGGGAAAAATGTCTTGTTATAAGTGAAATAATCTGCCAATGGAACTAAAACCTTTTTATCAAAAGTAAGGAATTAGTGACTTAAAACAATATCATGTATCTTGCTGAAAAGTTATGTATAAGTTAGTCTTATCTTATTTAAAGTTTACTAAGATATTTGCATTAGACCAAAAATACTTGGTATTTTGTGTTTTTGCAGTGATCCACCTCTTACTGTAATGTATTATTCTAAATAAAGTATCTTTTAAAATACATTTTTATTGTTAATATCATATTCCTACAGCTATTGCATTAAAATTCATGTTCTGTCCCGTTTACATTTTACTTTTTTCTGTGAATATATGCCAATACAAATAGGTGTAACTCATTTTTTCCAAGATCTGTGATGATTTTTAACAACAATTCACAAAACTGAAGAAGGCTTTGCAATATCTAGTGAACGTGTCACAACTCATGTCTGACCTACCTGAAACTATTATGAAGCAGTATTTGGAAACAGATAGGTACCTTTTAATCTCTGCTGTCTTCTTATTAAACTATGGCATATGCAACATTTTCTCTAGAAACTGGTGAAGTAAAATTCTGAGTAATTACATGGTAAGACAGACAAATGTCTTAAGTTTTTTGACCACAGTTTCCTGTTTCATTTGACTTCAATATTAAAACATACATCTATCAGCCAGGCATCCATTTAGATCCCCAACACAGGAATATGACTTTACTGTTTAGATTGTATAGAAAAATAGACCCAGCTTTCAACTCAGAGGAAGCATGAACATAGAAATCAAAGCAGCCTGAGTAAAGATCCCTGTGGAATACCATCACCAGCCCTACCAGGCGTTGATAATGTTAATCCAGTTTCATAGAGGTAAATCTCCACTTAATTTAATTTCATGAGAAAAAGTCACAAAGTAATTTCTGCTCAGAGATAAAAAAAAAATGTAATGAGTAATAATGTGACTTTTAAAAATTTGGTCAGAGGTTCAGAAAAAAGCTTGTGGTTGGTATTTTTCATCTGCATAAGTGGAAAGTTTTTTTCATATATCTGTTCACTCAGAAAATATAATCACACATTGTCAGTGCTGTTTCCACTGGGCATTAGGTAGTTTAAACCTTTCAACAATCAGAACATCATCAACACTCTGGGTGTTTTTTTTCCAAACGTTTTCTATCTGGTCTTCTATCACTGCCTTCCTCTATTGGACCTCGGCTTTCAGTGTTTTCACATCAGATAGTTTGGTAGACTCAGTTCCATTGGAGATCAAAATTGCAACATTTGTTACATTTTCAGCTGGTGTGGTTCATGTTCACACTACTACGGTCAAATGAACCAAACCCTTTGAAAACCCTGTTCACCTCCTCACCTGTGGGGGCGCTGCACCTAGAACCACAGAAGAAAACGACATGAAAACCTCTGAAGAAGACAGTGAGCGCAACTTCCTTCTTTGCAAAATGCAAATAAAAATTGAGTGGTGTCAAATTTTAGAGGTTGTAGGATTTTGGGTTTGGTAAAAGACCAGGAGCTAATTCCTCCTCTAGTGCGTTTGCTTTAGTTGTATTTACCCAGAATGCCCTGTACTGTAGTCACTTCCTGGTTTTGGAGCTGGTTCACTTGACATTCACATATGCTTTTGAACTGCACCAGAGTTCACTTTTTTTGGGCCACATCAGAGTTGGATTACGCGTTCACATCGCCCCAGACTGGACTTTCTAGTCAAACCAACAGGAGCTTGATTAAAGCGGATTAACCAGGTTTGGTGTGAATTCACCTTTAGGATGCATTCACACCAGGCCTGTTTAGTCTGAATTTGTTTTGGTCGTATTTACCCAGAATGCCCTGCACTGTAGTCCACTTCCTGCTTTTTTGTTTTGTTCGCTTTTTTGGTCTGCATCAGAATTGGATTACGCGCTCACACCTCCCCAGGTGAAATTGGACAGACACTCCCCAGACAAACTGGAGTTTGATTAAAGCAGACCAAATAGGGCTGGTGTGAATGCATCCTAAAGGCAAAGATGCATTCACACCAAATGCATTTTGATTGCATTTACCCAGAATGCCCTGTGCTTATATATTAAAATTCCTGCTTTCAGAGCGATCTCCAGTTTGCTTGGCGTTCACATATGCATTCAAACCGCATCAGAGTTCACTTCAACTGAGCCTAGTTTGCTCTTTTACGCATTCACACCTCTCCAAACAAACTGGACTTTCTAGACAAACAAACTGGAGTTTGATTAAAATGGACTAAGCAGGTCTGGTGTGAATGCAACTTTAGCTTACTGGACTTCTGCTCTGCAGCAAAATGTTGTATCCAAGCCTGTCATAATGTTGCTTCTGCTAAGTGGTGAAAAAATGCAATTCTTGTCATATTTTGACCACAGGGCTTAAAAAGTAACTTGTGGTTTCTAGAAGCTTATGTAAGTAAAGATTTTTCAAGAGCGATATATTTTTTATTTATTTGGCATGTCTTTGTAATTTCCTTTTATCTTTAGATTTATTTTGCTCAGTCTATTGCACCTTAAGGTTTTATGTTGCTTTTCACACCAAATACCAAATTCAGCGTTGTGCTCTGACCTTTGTTATCAAGTCCTTCATTTTTGTCATCCTTTGCGCTGCCTAACAGAAGAGAAGTCTTAACTCTGCTGGTCCTAATGGATTTATAATTCATGTGGGTTATAAAGCTTTTACTGCAACAGGAAGTGAACCAGATAATGTATTTAGGTTAAAAGCAGGATAGAAGCACTTGTTCATATATTGCTCGGTCCAGATGCCAACAAGTTGTTTTTGCAGCTAAAATGTGAACATTTTGTTTTTGTAGATAAAATAAAACTGCTTGTTAGAAACAAGCAGTTTAATATATTTCATATAGAAAATGAGCAAAATTTCAAGATCAACTAAAAGTAGAAATAAAAGCAAAAGATTTTCATTTTGTTGTCAAAAAGAATAGAACAGGATGACATAGAGTCTAAATGTGTCTCAGTTTTTTTATTACAATTATAATTCAGTAAGTTATAAATTCACTTTTAGTAAAAAACAACAGTCGTTTTCCAGATTATTATTCTTTCCTTTACAATATTGTGGAAGAATCTTGGCCTATTCCTCTTTTTAAAGTTGCCCCAGTTCTTTAAATTGGGAATATTATGTATTTTCCAGGCACATAGGGCCATTTTATAACACAATCAAGTTACTTTTTCCTTCAGTTTTTATGGAAATGCTGTATATCAAAAACAATCTAATAAAAATCTAATTTTGCATCACAGCCATATCTGGTGCTTTGAAATTGGCCTCTGTCTCTTTAAGAACCTCCTACCCTTTCTGACACTCCCCCTTCAACATGTTATCACAACAATGCTTCTCCATGATGCCGTTTACATCTGTTCTTTGCATAAGCGCAGGAGATATGCAGCTCCACCAGGTGTTTGCTGATATCTGCTGCCACTAGTCTGGAGGAGCTGACTAGTGGGGAAGAATTGACTTTAAGGTTTGCAGACACTGACTGGACCATTTTAACACTTTGACACCGTTTTGTTTTTCAGCCATTCTGTTGCAGATGTGCTACCGTGTGTATTGGACCATTGTTCTGTAGATGAACCAGTTTTTCTTCAGTACTGAGTTCATGGGCGACTCAGTGAGTGCAAGCTGATCAGGTAACAGTCTAAATCATCAATCCTTGACCGTTAGTATGAACTGTTTGTGTCGTTATGCTGTGCTTGGTTTTGTCAAACCAGAAACTTTCATGGAAAAACAAAATACCAATTTGGTCTTTTTCCTAATTATCATCGTCAAGAACCTTTAACAAGCTACGTGGAAACCGGGTTATGGAGTTCTTGGATTTTTTTTTTTTTTGCAATTTCACCGTCTGACATCAGTGGGAATTTGTACAGATGTTCTCATTTGTTCACGTTTCAGATCTGAAAAAACTAAAACCAACAGAGTAAGAAGCTGTTTTTACGCATTAGCCGTCACCAGACTGAATGAAGCTCGGCAGTCAATTTGACCTCACTGATTTTTATATTTTACTACAGTTTTAAGTTTACTTTCGTCAATAGTTGAAAGCAATGTAAGTGATTATTTATTAAGTGATATTCATTGTTTTTATCTGGAGGATTGCACTCAAATTTTGTTGCACAATATTTAATTGTTAAAATGACAATACATATTCTAATCTGTTCTGATAAATACCTTCCACAGAGTAGATTGCTTAAATTCAGAGTTCATAAATAGATCCTTCCAATTGCTTCTTAAAAGTCATTGCTGATG